CTCGGGGCCACTATTGTTATGTGTCCCCGAGGACAAAGTGGAACCATTATTGTACGAAATCCATGAAGGGGTGTATGGGAGCCACACGGGCAGAAGGTCTCTTGCGCACCGAGCAATGACACAAGGGTACTGATGGCCTTACATGCAGAAGGATGCGAAGAGTTATGTGCAGAAATGTGACAAATGTCAAAAGTTTGCCCTCATTATTCAGCAATCGGCTCGAGATTTGAACTTGCTAACGAGCCCATGACCCTTCTCACAGTAGAGAATGGATATTGTCGGACCTCTCCCGAGATCCCCACTGGGAAAGAAATTCTTGATAGTGGCAATCGATTACTTCACTAAATGGATCGAAGCGGAGCCTTTAAGCCGCATTCGGGATGTCGAAGTAAAGAAATTCGTATGGCAAAACATCATCACCCGGTTTGGAATTCTCCGGGCTATCGTCTCTGACAACAGGACTCAATTCAACAGTGGCCCATTTCGAGAGTTCTGCTCAGGATACAGAATATGCAATTACTATTCTACGTCAGCCTATCCCCAGTGTAATGGACAGGTTGAGATATCCAACAAAACTGTGCTGGCAGGAATCAAGAAGAGACTCGAGGTAGCAAAGGGAAAGTGGACCGAGGAGTTACTTAACGTGTTATGGGCATACAGGACCACCCCGAGGACTTTAACGGGAGAAACCCCGTACGCCTTGACATATGGGGTCGAGGCAATAATCCCATTTGAGGTAGGACTCCCAACAATACGGAGTCGAGCCTTCGAGTTTGGCAATAATGATCAAACCCTCGCTAGGGATCTCGATCTAGCCGAGGAAAGGAGGTCATTGGCGTCCATCAAGCTGGCGAAGTACCAAGGTGAGTTGTCACGACAGCACTAGAAGAAAGTTCGATCAAAGGAATTCCAAGTCGGAGATTTGGTACTGCGAAAAGTGGTAGGAAATACGCGCGAGCCCACTGATGGAAAACTTGGTCCCAATTGGGAGGGGCCTTACAAGGTGATCTCCGTAGGGGGCACTGGCACATATCGTTTGCAAAATATGAATGGTGATGATGTAATTCAACCATAGAATGTATCAAATTTAAAGAAATACTATTACTAAATCAGGTTTCAGTCTTCATGGTGCTACTAACACGAGTCAAGCGCTCGGTCGTTGGGGGCGCGGCCCCAAGGGGTGTAAGACTCCAACCTTGGAGCAACGCTCTTGAAATAAACACGAGCCAAGCGCTCGGTCGTTAGAGACACAGTCCCGAGGGGTGTAAGACTCTGCCCTTGGAGCAACGCTCTTAAAATACCAACACGAGTCAAGCGCTCGGTCGTTAGGGATATGGCCCCGAAGCGTCCTAAAACCCAACAGCGAGTTCAGCGTGGCTGTTTCCTAGAAATACGATCAACATAGAAAACATATTGATTAGAAATCGGAGTTCATTATAGAAAAGGGGCTTTGCATCCCCAAGCATACAGACAAACAAAACTCAGTACGACGCTACAAAGCTGCAAAAATGTAGGACCAGCTGCTGAGACCCTCAACTCATTCATTCATCCCCGGCTCCTTCCCCATCTCTAACCCCCGATATCTCGTCCTGCTCGGTGTCATGCTCTCCACTAAGGATGGGGTCCGGAGAGGACATATCATCTGTTGGCTCGGCCGATGGCAACGACGGAAAGACAGGAGAAGGCTGATCAGATCCGTCACTGAGTGTGATGGGTTCACCACCGCCTTCAGCACCGACCGGACCTTCAACCTCAGCAGAGGCACTGAGGTTGGGGCGGACTTATTCATCCAAGGCCTCGTTATCGGCCTCGCTTCAGAAGTTGTGTCTGGCAAACAACTCTGAGCCAACCTCGACATGGCAGGCGGCATCCCAACCCTCTTTGAAAGCCTTCTTCTTGGCTTCTTCAAAAGCGGGAAGCATTTGGTCTTGAGTGGCCGACCACACCCTCAGACACTCCGATTGCAGCCTCTCCTGCTCCCCCGATTTTTCTACTGTCAAGGAGTCCACTTTGGCAGTAAAAGCGCTAATTACAAACTCGGACTCTTGCAGCTTGGACTTGGAGGAGGATACTCGCAGCTCATACTCCTCGGCCTTTTTCATCATTGCAGCTTCGCCCGCCTTGGCCTTATTCAGCTCGACATGAATGGCGTCTCGCTGGCGGATGAGCTCGGCAATGTGTTTGGTCTGATTGCCGAGGGTCCTCTTGACCTTTAAAATGTGGTTGTCCTTGGCGGCCGTGACTCGCTCGGTGTTTTTCGCCTCTTGCTTGTATTCCCAAAAGTGTTCAATGATGGCTCCCACCTGCTGGCTAGCCTGGAAGAAGAGGAATATTAGTAAATGACCAAAGGGGAATAGCTACTCGGGGAGGCGATGAACTTACCACCAAGTTGTTTTGGATGGTGCTCATCAGGAGTCAGTTGTCCGAGTAACCTTTATACGCGGTCATGTCGGCCTCGAACTGAAGTATCCCCGCGACGGCAAAGACCACTTCGGAAGATTGGAGGATTGAGTTGGCTTCCAAAATAGGTCGGTCGCTTTTAGTCTCGGCCTGACCAACCCACTCGCCCGAGACAGAGGGCCCCGGGGCTGCGACATCATGCCGCTGCTTTACACGGTGCTCTTCATGTTGTTCGACGTCCTGGGCACGCCTGTCCCTCGGCCGGTCTACTGGAGTTTGGACTTGTTGAGATTGGGCCCTCTGCCTGATCGGTACGGCCGAATCCCTGGGTGGCGCACGTGGTGGCAGCGGCTGCTTCTGAGGAGGGCGAGGTTAAGGAATGATGGGGGCAAGATTGGAAGGTCAGGCCAAGCCTGCAAGCCTGGCTCTCCTTGCCGAGGCGGCGACCTCCATGGTTGCTGCGGTGATGGGTGGTGGATTAAACATGTCGGGTGTAGGAGACTCGGTAGCGTTATGCGAAGACTCCTCTTCTAAACCACCCTCGGATTCTTCCTCTTCTGACGAGGAGTGATCTTCCAAAATGGAAGGATTAAAAGGAGGAGGGATCTGGGAGAACCGGTTGTAGGTTGGCGTATAGCCAAGAAGGGTATGCGCCGCTCGTTCAACTGGGTCCGAGGACCAGACCTTTAGCAGATCAGCGAACCGGACTTGAGACCTCAGCGGTTAAGCAGCGTCCCAGCGATATCCTTCTGCGAAAATAGAGCAAAAATTAGTATGTCCCTCAGACCTAAAAAGATGTAAATTGGGAAGTCGGAATGAAAACACACCTTCATCCCTCGACATTTTGGGGTAGTACAATCCGTCATACTCGGGCCCGGTCCCTTTGTCCCAACTGCCGTCGAGCATGATCAGATCATTCACGTACCCTTTGTCCAAGTCAGGCATGTGGATTACTAGATACATCGAGGGATCTCGGGCTTGGAGGTAATATCGTCCCCCGGCGACTAGCCTTAGGTCATAGCAGAACAAAATTTTGTCTACCCCCAAGTTAGTCCCAAGTCGAGTGTTTAAGGCGACTACGCTCATCACAATCCTAAAGAAGTTAACCCCGCATTGAAGGAGAAAGAGCTTCAATTGCATCAGGACTCCCAGCAACAGGGGATGGAGGGGGAAGGTCAACCCTCCTTCCATGATGACCTTCGTCTAGAAAGGCATCATGTCCTCACTTCCCATGTCCCTCCTATGGCGAGTAGGGTTGAAGGGGAAGGTGAAGACAGGCTCGCGAATATGGTACCTGACCTTAAAGGTGTGGATGTTCTCATCTGTTACTTGGGTTCTCCTCATTTTGTGGGTAGTACTGGTCCTAACAGACGTTTTCCCCCTAGTTCTACTAGTTCCGGCCATCGATGGGAGCTAAGAGGGCGAAATGTAGAAGAAACGAAGAGAAAAAAAGCTCAAGTGGAAGTACTTATAGGAGGTTGGTCTTTGGAGAGAGGTCGGAGGACCAGGGAAACTCGGAGGACAGGAGAGCACTCGGGGTCTGATTGTTGAGGAGAAATGGAGGATGCAAAAGTTCTAAGAAAGCAGAGAAACCCCCTATTTATAGTGCCTCACAAAAAGCGAGAATCAAGGAGTTGGCTCATCATTAGGACATTTGAAAAGGGTGGCATTAGATGTGCAAGTAACTATCGCCATTAATGAGGCATGGTGATAGAGCCCCAATCCCTTCATTTCACTTGTCGAGCGCCACGTAAGGGATTGCGGCTAGGGGGCAGTTGGCGGGACTCCTGTATGGATCCTCAACCCCCAGGGTGACACGTGGCCCAAATAAAGTCATTAGGATGTCTGGAAGATGCCGAGGGGGTGAGCCGAGGCATAGCGACACAGAGCGGCCAAGTACAACAGCTGACATCATAATCAAAGTGATATGACCTCGCATTTATGGTGAAATGAGTGATGGTGACAGGACAAATAAATGCGAGGCTGCTGCCAACTGCTTTCTGCAAGTCTATGCCTACTGACATGATAGCTGGAGCATTAATGACTGACGCGCTGAAACAACGCGATTGGTTCTCCTAAGTTCCCTGATTCACCGAGTAGTCCGTGCTTTGTCGGTGTCAAATGCCAACCTCTTGGATTGGGCTGCTCGACTCGTAGTATAAATGCTCGGCTTGTGGCCGAGCATTTACACCATTCCCATAGCATTCAATTGGAGGAGGCATAAAGGGGAAGCATTCACAGCACGAGGGATAGTGTGTCAGATGTGAGATGTCCAAATGGGACTGAATATCTAGAGCAATCATTGCTAATTCAGGTATAAATATCCCTCAGAAAAATGGACAAAGGTACGAAAAATAAAACCAGAGCACAAGGCAGATCTGTGTGTTTTACTGTGTGTGTGTGACTTTGTGTGTCTTTGTGTGTGAGTGTCTATTTTGTGTTCAGATCAATCACAAACATGGGCTCTTTTTTTCATTTTCCCCTAAAAAAATTTGGATTTATGTGAGTGGATCTGCAGAGTCCGTGTGTGTGTGTGTGTGTGTGAGTGTTCTGTGTCTATGTTTAAGGTATATATGAATTACCCTTTTTACCAACACTGATTACAGCATATCAACGCCAAGACCTTTCAATTCTTTAATTCGGGCTTCGGCTTTTTTGATGATTGCATTGTTGAAACCACCACAAAGGCCACGATCACCAGTAAAAACCACAAGAGCTAACTTTACTGGCCTGACATTGGTGAGAGGAATGTCTATGTCTTCAATTTTGAGCTGTGCATTGATGTTGTAAAGAACTTCAACAAGAGTTTCAGAGAAGGGTCTAGCATTGACCACAACTTCTTGAGCTCTTCTCACTTTAGCATGGGTCACAAGCTTCATAGCCTCAGTGATTTTATGGGTGTTCTTTATAGAATCAATGCATTCACTAAACTCGTGCAGACCACAATGAATTGGGTTCACTGTTGATGATCTAGAGGGGTTGGAAGTGGGTGAGTTATTGTTTGGAAGCAGAACAGAAAGTGAAGGTTTTGAGAAAACCCACATGGTAAGATGCTCAATTTGGGATCTGCAAAATGCTCAATTTGGAAGAGAAGAGGTCTGTGATGTGAGTTTGGTTTTGTTTTGAGAATTGTGTTTCACCTTTGAGCTTGTTGTTTGTTGCTGCTGTTGAGCTTGCTGGTTTCTGGTTTCTTTTACAATGGGATGAAAGATAGATCGACCATCAAAATGGGATGAAGATCAACCATCCCTTTGAAAAGAATTGTGTCTGTGAATTTTGATGAATTATTGGATATGTTGGGTTAAAAAAAATTTAGATTTGTCTTTTGTTGTATGAGATATTATAAAACATATTTAGGCTATAACTTGTAAATACAAAACATGGTTTTTGTTTTTATTTTCTTAATAAATACACATGATTTATTATAAAATACAAACAAAAATTATCTATAATTTTAAATTTTTTAAAAACACAAAAATAAAAATATTACCAAACATGGGCCAATTTTTGACCACGTCACTTGCAAGTGAAAGTGAAAAGAAAGGGAGAGGGTACGGTCAAGAAAGCATTTCTTCACTGACTTGTTGACAGTAGCGCGATTAGATTTGCATAAGAAAAATAAAATGAACATCCCCAAGCAACATCAAAATTCAGACACACCATAACCTTTTTTTGAGAAGGCTAAGAATTAAATTGATAAATTAAAGCTCTGTTGTTGCAACAACAATAACCATTCCCGCTGCTCCCATATACAAATCGTACTCCACACTATTATAGAACACTCATAGTGATTTTTTCAATCCATGTGCTGAGAAATTGTTCTCATGACTCAAATCAAAGACAGCCCCTTATACAATAAAACAGCCTTACCGTTGAACCCAAATTCACCTTCTTACAACTGCCTTCAGTCGTGTGACCACAAAAATTCCCAGGCTGCATCAAGCCCCTCACTTCCAACTATTCACGAGGGACAATTGAAATCAATACGGTACTGTATACGGTAATGCAAATATATCAGCATTGGGCAAATGTTGGGCACAGGGCCACATCACAGATGAACCACAAGATAAATCACTGTTGGCTTTAAATCTTTTCTCCTTGCGAGTGTCTTGATGCTTCCTTTGAAAGAGCAATTCTTCATCATCAAAATCAGGGCGCTCTGGTGGAACCCAGTTCTCAACCAAATTTTGGTACTGTAATATCACACTCCGCAAATTTTTTCCAGATGACATAGAGCCATATTCACTTCGACTGTCATCCTGGGTAGAAATTTCAGTCCTCCTAGAAGTAGAACAACTCAACTCTTTTTCAAGCCTAAGGGGAAGTGTTTGCGCATCAATATCGGTCCACAGAGAAGTAGAGTAGGAACCTTCTTGACTGGCTCTTGGAGCAATTTCACATTTTTGCTGGGTAGGTAAATTTATCCTCCCCGAAGTGGAGCAGAGCACCTCTTTGGTGGCTGAAGCAGCAGGTTCTTTGTGTTTTTGCAAGGGTAGTCGAATTCTAATGATGTTCCCTGTTTGATGATCACAAGAAATTGAGAAAATGACGTGCCTGAAAAAAGCATAGAATAACCTAGCAACTAGAGAAAAATAATCGATGTCATGTCAACCAGAAAACACAAGCACAAACTCACCATTCCTATGGCAACCATCAGGAAGTGAAGCATTCCTCCTTCTCTTGTTGCTATTTTGGGTGCTCTCTGATGAAGCAGACGGGTTGTATGCACAGACAGACAGCCCATGCTCTTCAGTGAGACCACTCCTTTCCAACTGTTCAGCTTCATCTTTACTCCACTTTCTTTTGTATTCTCCTTTGAAATCTACAGAACTCTTCTCCCCTTTATGGTCTTTCTCATCATGAGCTAGTTTACAGGTACTATGCTTCTCCTTTTCTTTCTTTTCTCTCTTTTTCTCTTTCTTCTCCCTCCTCTTTTCTTTCTTCCTTTCTGCCTTGGCCTTCTCCCTTTCTCTCTGGAGCTTTAGAGCACCAGAATAAGAAATTTAGAAAAATAGGGCACGGGAAGACCATAGATGCAACATGACCAAGCAAATGTAGGGGCCAGATCTTCAGTGATATCACAAAAGTGCCTTTTCAATTTTGTATTGAAGCAAAAAATGGAGGGAAAAATAACTAATTAGATGGAATAATCTATTCATCACTTTGCCATCAAATCATTGTTCCAAAGTTGACATAAGATAAGACACCACTGCAATCTTCCATTTTGCTTTGAATCTGACTATCTTCATGCAAATGTCCCAAAAACACTTGTAAACCTTAGAGACATAGTGCATATTAATACTCCAAACTATATATCAAAGTATGTGTGTGTGTGTAGGCACAATCCGAAGACTTGCATTACACAAATCAGACTTATTACGGTGATTAGATGAGTTTTGTAGGGAAAAAATACAAATCACAGAAAAGCAAAGACTTAAGTCAATGAATTTAATTGACAAAAAAGGGTTTTATGTAAGATAAAATTTCTACAAAAATAGCATAGTCAAATGACAATAGGAGATCAGTCTCTTATCAGAATAGAACTCCTGGGGCTTGTTTGATATGTTTTTTGGGAGGGGTTTGGATTGAATTGTTCAAACACGGGTTTGACCAAAAGATGAGATTCAACATTTAATGTTGTTTATACCCATGTTTGGTATTCGCAGGGATATATGACTATTATGATAATATATTTGTATATAAATGACTATTGTACCCCTTAACCAATTTATATATATGAGGTATATAAGATATATAGGGGTATAAATGTCATTTGAATGTTAAACCCTCAAACCCACAAATGAAACCCACTTCCCCCTTGAGTTTCATGAAACCCAAGTATGTGGGTTTCATAACCGGGTCATGACCGGACCAAGTTTGAAATCCTATCCATATTTCATGGATGCCAAACATGGGTTTACTCCCCAAACCATGTTCTCAAACCCTCCCAAACCCACATACCAAACAACCCCTAATGTTAATGGGTAATGGCATCTGGTATTACAGTTTAAGATCTTTCTCAAAAATATAACAAGTTTATATCAATGAACTCAACCTTCCCTATAAAGAAAACCCTCCAATGAACTGTCAAATGCCCTCGAATGAACTGTCAAATGCCCTGACCAGACTAAAGCACTTAAGATGTTAGTAGGTGTGTCCATTTAACAATGAATATTAGAAGCTCAATACCTGTAACGCCCCCACCTATGACTGAGATGTCAATCCATCCTCAAAACACGGCAGCTAAAACCTATTTCTGAAAAATTACCTTCTTAAGTGTAAGGGACTGGATTTGACTTCAAGCACATAATTGGGAAAGCCTACAAAACTAATGCTTATGTTTATAACCAAGATACCAATTTTCTTAAGCCAGTACAAATGTACCATACACTAACTGAAGAAGTCTCTTGCTGATACATCGCATTGTAGTAACTTTAACAGGTGTCAGGAATGGCAACTATCTCCAAAATTTTGCAATCCTACCACAGTTTTCTCTTCTACATGTGATACAGACCTTCAGGTCTCAAACAGCGTGAACCATGTACAATTGTTTCAGAAATGTCTGATATATATTTCAAGAAAAATGAGGACTCAGCATATCAGGCCATACTAGTTTAAGGCATGCAGTAGTGGCAAACTGCCAACTTACACTTCTAAGACCCAATGATTCAACAAATCTCAGTCACTAGTATAGATCAAAACAAAATCTCTAGTGTTTAAACCAAAACCCCCCACACAATAATACACCCGTGAATGAAACAAATTCAAAATACCATAGACATCCAATATAACACCACAACAATCCTCCTAATATCACTGGCCAGTATGGAATTTCTTTCACCTATTCATGTCAAAATCCTGATCCAGGAACAAAGTGCATACACAAAGATGGTGTTGGATCCTTTTTTTCAAGAAACCCATAGGATGGGCAAACATAAACCACTTCCCCAAAACAGAAAGACCTTTCATCCACGACGACTCATTCACAAATATAAAGTAACCATTAGGTTATTAGCTCTCTTCAGAGACATCAAGGCAAGCTTTACACACTTGTAGATTGCCAATAAACCCAAGACCAAACTCTAACATTTAATTCTTATCTTTACCCACTTATTTATGAAAGTTCCACCATCAATCCCAACTCAGGTAAGCTTATCCCATCATGCACTTGGGTTAGAACCCCTAATTTACATCAATTTAGTCACCAAAGACGTGCCATTGATAGCTCCTTACCACATCAGATTTGCAAAATCATCCAATTTGGTGTCCACCTGTTTTTTGTAAACAAGATGCTAGTTCTTCGATTCTTGTTTTTTAAATCATATCAACTACACATCCTCACAGTGGCAATATTTTAAAAGAAACATTCCCTTTACCTCGACCACAGAACTACAACTCCAGCGGAAACTATTCCAAAAGTTCAGGGGATGCTAACAACATTCATTCCAATAAATTCATCACATCTCAAGGACAGATCCAAACAGTTTAAACAACATTATTCTTTATAAATTCCAGTAAACCCATGATACATTAACAAGAGTTACAAGAACATTGAAAGAGCCCGATGTTGATTGTTAATTTTGATTTACATGAACATCCACTTTTATATTAATATTTACATGGGTTTCGTACATAAAGAGAGCCTTGAAATCGATTAGAAGAACATCAAGAAAGTAGCCGAGCATATATAAATCAAGTGCTCAACAAACCTTAATCGATTCGATCAAGGCCTCGTTGCTGGATCTATTCCCAGAATAACCAGGTGGAGGGTACGGAAAACACCGAGACATTCTAATATCAAGAACTCGCAACAACGTGTATATATGGATTCGTAGGTCGCAACCCTAATTCAGAATAAAGGGTTGAGAAAGATTTAAGATCTTGGGGTTTGATCGTTCGATTGAAGGCAAAATCAAAAAATTTCAGGAACCCAAGTTTAGGGTTTCGCTTTCGCCGACGCACACGAAGAGCTGAAACCCTAAGGCAAAGTATGCTACACGTTTTGGAGGCCTACCTATCTGTATTTTATAGGCAAGAGGCGTGTGGGATTGGCCGACTTCAGAAGCGGTTTATTTTTTTACCTATAATGCCCTCAGATTTATACCAATTGTCTTTTATATCCTTTTCCCTGATTGAACAAAACAAAAAAAAGAAGGAAAAGGTTCAGTAGTACGAAAAAACAAAAACTATATAATAAAGGGTAAATCCTACTTTGCCTCTAAAAGATACAAAAAATAATAATAATTTGCCTCCAAAATGATTAATTCTTTCATATTATCTCCTCAAAAAAATTAAAACATTATAATATGGTCTACTATCTTATTTTTGTTTGATCATTCGTCTATTTTATAATTCTTAATTGATTAATTTGACACAAAATTGACGGACCATCAAACAAAAAATAAGATATTAAACTACATTTTAACATTTTTATTTATTTATTTAAGTAGAAAACATGAAAAAATTAATCATTTAGAGGGAATAATGAGAATTAGGGGGAATTTTTTTTATAATAAAATATAAGAAAACTTCATATATTTTTTTAGGGGTGAAATGAAGTTTCAAATAATACAAGGAGGGTGATTGAAGATAAAACTAACTACAAGAAATATGAATGAAGTTTTTTTCTAAAATATAATGTCTGCTTCCTTATATCTAGTTCATAGATAATTAGTTTGGTTTTCTTTAACACTAGGGTATCCGGTGCAATTTTTTATTTTTTGTCATAATTAAAATATAAATAAATGGTTTAGAAAATATGTATGATTAGCATATTTATTATGATTAAAAATTTAAATATAAGTAGAATATATTATAAAATAAATTATCAAATTTAAATAACTCGTTTTGTTGTATTAGCTATGTATACATGAGGTTTGTTTTATTATAGAGTATAAACAAAATTATGCTATTTTGTTGGAATCATATTAATTGATTAGCGATATCCCGTGATTAAAGTCATTGTATACTAAATTATAACACTATACATACATTGAAATATATGTGTTGGAGTGTATGTATGTATGTTCAGTTGTATGTAGGGGTGTAACTTGGGTTGGGTAACCCGAATTCAACCCGAGCCCAACCCAAAAAAAGACGGGCTTGGGCTAGAGTTTTTAAAACTTGGGTTGGGCTTGGGTTGAAAAATGTTAACCCGAATTCAATTTGGACCGATCTCGGGTTGACCCATCAGATTACCGGGTTGAACCCAAATATTAAAATCGGGCTCAACCCGAGTTAATATTCGGGCTCAACCCGAATATTGTGTTAAATGATTGTTTGTGTTTGCGTTCTGTTTAAATTACAGTGTTTAAATTAAAGTGTCAGCAGTTTGTATTTTATTTAAATTATAGTAGCAGCACTTTGTGTTTTGTTTAAATAACACTGGCAGCAGTGGGCAGTGGCAGCCCCTTGTGCCGTTGTGCAAGGATTATGTTTATTTATGTTAAACTGTTATGCAAAGATTCTAGTTATAGTTGCATTATTTCTCCATTGAGTTCTAAATATTATGATTTTAATGTTAAAAACTTGATTGAAATAACTCAAAATAAGCCCGTAAAGTAATCCGGAATTAANATGCAAAGATTCTAGTTATAGTTGCATTATTTCTCCATTGAGTTCTAAATATTATGATTTTAATGTTAAAAACTTGATTGAAATAACTCAAAATAAGCCCGTAAAGTAATCCGGAATTAACCCGAGCCAGCCCAAATTAAACTTAGGCAGTGCTCGGGTTGAGTTTTCCAACCCGAGGTAAGGTTAGGGTTATGGTTAGGGTTGAAGATTTTATACCTAGGGTTGATTGTCCAACCCGCCCAAGTTGCACCCCTAGTTGTATGTTATGAAGTGTGTGTGTTAGATTTTTGAAATTTTAGAGGAAAAAATATGTGTTGAGTTTGTGAAATTTAAAAGAAAAAATATACTTTCGTAAGTTCAAACACTATCTAATTTATTATATTGATAAATTTCTATGTCATGATATAAGGCGAAACTATTATATACTCATACAAAATTTTCATCAGTTGTTACCAATGATTTTTGAAATACTGTTGTCTCTATATTTTTTATATTTTTAAAAAAAATCTTGCTAGTATTTTTATGGATCCCATGCACCGCCAAGGCGTGGAGTCAACTCCATAAACTTCTTCGGGTCTTCTTATTTTTAATTAGGGTTAATCTCACCTTACACTCTAAAATATACTTTAATTTTTAATTTGTACCCTTAAATTTTACAAATTTTAATTTACACATTGAATATTATGAATTGATAGCAATATGATCCTGACCCAAAATAACGTTTAGTTTTTTGTCAAAATTTGAGGTATGTGAAGTGCAAAATGCTTTAAGTATGAGGATGAGGTATGTCTATCGTTTGCGATTAATTTGATATATTTTTTTGTATCAAAAATAGGGTTTGATTAAATAGATAGAGGTTAAACCTGTCATGTATAACTCACATAAAATTGTCAATAATCTTTGAATTTATACATAAGCTCATGTCCGAAACACTGGTAACTCACGTGTTTTAATTTATGACAAAAAATTGAACAACAGTTGGGGCAATATCTACATTATTACCAATTTATATTATTGAGGGTACAAATTAAAATTTTTAATATTTAAGGGTATAAATTAAATATTAAAATATATTTTCGGAATGCAAAGTAAGATTAATCATTTTTATTAACCATACGTGTTTATCTTGATAATTATTAGAGTAATTATATTTAGACCTAAAAGTTGGACTTAATTTGGTTTTATTGTAAAAAAAAAATTAATTTTATTGTAACTATTGAATTAATACCAAGTTTTAATATTTGATGAGGCCTACAATTAATTTTATAATCTATATAATAAAATACAATATAATTCAAATTTCAAAAAATAAGTAAAATAATTTTTATTTTTCGTGGTTAAGATATCTTTAAATTTTACTTTAAAATTAATCTGATAGCTAATATTAATACATCAATTTTAATAGAAAAATAAGTTCATAAGGATGTGTTTGGAATGACTTTTTAAAAAAATTTATAGGGCTTATAACTTTTCATAAGATCTTTAAAAAAAAAAAATTGTGTTTGAAATTATCTCACCACCACCATCATCGTCGCCACTCCCCACCACCACTGCCACTGCCCCCTTCTACCTCCACCTGTGCCACCCCCACCTCTATCCTCACCACCCACCACAGATTGCTATCACCGTTATTTACCGCCACCACTTACCGTCATTATTATCACATTCTTATATTTATTAATACTATTATCATCGCCTACTACTACCACAACCGACCACCATCCGTCGTCACCGGCCATTATTACTCACTCCTACCACACTTATCTCAACTCCACCACCCGCACCTGTCATTTGCCATGACCCATCATCTTGTAGCTCAAAAGTACCCGTCGTCGTCCACTACCACTATCGTCACCACCCCATTGCCCACCGTTGTAACCCCACAACCACCATCACCCACATCCCTTTCACCATAAAACCGTTGTCACCCATGATTATTATTACCACCCTCGTCATTCAAAAATTACCATCACCTTGGTGACTCATGATTGTCATTAGTATCATAGTCATTGTCACCCGTTACAATCATCACCGTTTTCCACCACCATCACTACCCCCACCCATCACTATCAGTGTCAATTCTCATCACAATCGATGCTTATATTTATTTATTTAATTTTTTTTTATGATTTAATTTTGAATGTGAATATAAATTTGTTTATTATTAATAATTTTTTTATTACTACATGACTTTAGACACGAAAAATAATTAGTTATAATAAAATTATATCAAAAAATTAAATTAATAAATTATATTCTAATAACATTGCTCTAATTATTAAGCATAAGTTGTGAATGGGTGAAGCCTCCCCCTTCTCCCTCTCTCTATCGGTGCCGAATAGAATGGGCTCGTCATCACTAACATAAAATGTAGGCCTGACAAATCTGTTGGGCCTAACCCACAGTCCATTATAATACGCTGGCAAGATCAAGAGACGCCTCCCAGAACTGAACCGCCTTAAATTTGCCAACATGTTTCTACTTCTCGAAACTTCAGAGTGTACGCGACTGTGAGAACTGTAGAGTAATCAATCTCTAATGGCAACGATGAACAGGATTAGTAGAATCGCCGCCATCACACGTGCAGTCGAAGGCTTCGTCACCGGCAAGCCCACTCCGCAGCGGCATGTCCAGGTGGCTCTATACAGTGTCAGCAGCAATTTTAATTCATCTCCCAAGTCTCATTGGTTCTCGTCTGATAGGCTCACCGATCACTTAGGGCACTCGAATTGCGCCGCCGCTCATGGAATGGCCGGAACCATGTTATTCTCAGTCGCCGCCGCTCAAGAAGTCCACGCGAAAGAACCGCGGCAGTCTAAGGAGTTTATGCCTAACGAGGTCGTTCTTTATCAGTACGAAGCTTGCCCCTTCTGTAACAAGGTTAAAGGTAATGCTGCTCTTTGTATTTGCTTATTTAATTTCAATTCAATCGTAGAACGAAGATTTTAGATTCTGGAGGGTTGAAAATAAATGGTTAATAGAACGTGTGTAGAATTTTTTAATTATTTTCCGTCTTCTTAGTTTTCCCATTGGCGAGAGCAATCAGGAGGTCATTTTCGAAAATGACGTTATATTTGTAAATTCTTCTCGATAATTTTCTGGAATGACTGTTTTTGAAGCAGGACCAGAAGGAGGTCTCTAAAAGTATTGAATTTGTTTTGTTGAAGAAAAACTGGGGCCATGATGGCTATTGTTTGAGCTGATAAAAAATGGTTATATTATAGGGGACGCACCGCAAGTTTTATATGTTGCAGTGACTTGTTATAATGGCGGTATTTCAAGTTCGTTTCCTCTGTAATGATCTATTTGCTCCTCTTATTTCCATTTTAGTTTCAATTTGGGCATTTATTTTTCGAGTTATACTGAATCACCACCTAGAGGCAAGTTAATATTCGATTTTTGGTATTGTAATTCATAGATTACTTTGTCGAGTAACATCAAGGGATTTTTTATTTTACTCCACCACTAAATAGAATTTTAGCTCCTTTCTTTCTCCCATGTATGCTCATTGAAAATACGAAACTATAGCTAAAGAAATTTGTGGGTTCAGGAAAAATTTCTCCTATCCAGTTGAAGTGACATGATCTCCTACGACACCAGATAGAACATTGTTGAGATTTTATTGGTGCCTTAATAAGATTTTCCCCTCCAGCCCAAAAATATACATGTCCACCAAAGTTTTCCCCTTTTCTATGGGATGCAGTGCAGATATGATTTAATGGTACACATCAGAGTATGATAACAATTGGATAAACGAGGTCATAGATTCCTCTAATCCTGTCTCTCTCTCTCTGCAAACAGGGTTCATAGCTGTCTGATAATTCAAAAGATAGAAGAATAATAGATTTAAACATTACAGTGATTCTTGTCATGGTAAATTCTGATTGTCTCACTCCTTTCTTTTCCCTTGGTTCTTCTCGAAGCATTCCTGGATTACTATGATGTTCCCTACAAAGTGGTGGAGGTCAACCCCATCAACAAAAAGGAAATCAAGTGGTCGGATTACAAGAAGGTGCCTATATTGATGGTTGATGGTGAAAAGATGGTTGACTCATCAGGTTCTTGATACAGGAAGCTTTTTTTTTTTGAGTATTTTGTGAAAAGTCTGTGTGAGTGGAAAGAATGACCCGACTTTGTTGTTTAGTTTTGTTTTGTTATTGACTTGTTAAAACTGGTGTTTAATTTATGCAGATATAGTTGATAAATTGTTCCAAAAAATTCATCCTGAGATCCCCGTTGATTCTGTCTCAAATGATGAAGGGAGGAAGTGGCGCGGGTATGCATTTGGCTAGTAGTTCTACTTTCTGAGTGTTATACACTACTTTTGCTTCCATTATTCCATACTTAAAATAATCTTATTCAGTTGTTGCATCATTTTGTTTAATGACAAAAACTCATTCCAGCAATTTGAATATTTAGTTTGCCAGCCCTGTTAATATGTTATGGTAATGTTATAATATTGCTTGTTGTATGATATCTTATCCATAGAAAATGTCCATATTTTATTCATCAGCTGATAAAATGAGCTCCGTTTGATCATATTATGTGGGATGCTAATGTCGCTTCTCATAATTTTAGGTGGGTGGACAACCATTTGGTGCATGTCTTATCGCCAAACATATATCGAACTACTTCTGAGGCTATTGAGTCATTTGACTACATCACTAGTCATGGTAAGTTGCTATATACTTTTCACAATAACATATGCTATGAAAGAAATCAGTAGTATCCAGTGGCAGAAGACATCACAGATGGTTTTTTATCATTCAATGTATAAACATCCCAAGGATATTTTCTATCACATGTTTACATACTGTGGAGTTCTATTTTAAAAGATCAGCACTAAATGACATATCAGAATTCTCATTATTTTTTGTTTTCAACCGGAATGGTGTTTTGTTGTCATAGGCCCTGCATTGCTGCCATGAAATTTATCCTTGTATGATCATGGCCTGGATTCAAAGTTTTCATGTGCTGGGTTGATTTATTTGGTTATATTTGTGAAGTTTTCTGGCATTTATTGTTTGCGTCCTTGATAGGAGTTGATAAATGACAAATTCATTTATTTTATTGCCTTAAATTTATTGATGTGCTTATATCCTTCCCTACTAATTAAAAAAACCTTCATTCCTTTGTTTCAATCGGAAACGCCAGGTCTGTGTTGAGTGAATATACATTTTGGCCAGGTTATTGGTGGGCTGACTTATGTTTGCAGTTTGTTGGGGAGTAGGTAGGTTCTGGAAAGTAACACCAGTCTCTCTTTTGGCCCGAGACCCCATGGTTTTCTTCTGTATGATTTATGAGTTCAAAGGAATAGATCCAAAAGTGTTCAATTTCATAAGTTGCTCATTTAAACAATTTAGGGTGGGATTGAGTTATATTGGAACACAAACAAAAGACTAAGTGGGCCGTGTCTATTATCTTTCGTTTGAGCATCCTTGGTGTTTATCTGTCTTTGTTGAAGTTTTTCAGCAACATCAATAATTGTCAGAGAAAGAATATTGGATGGAGAAACTGCTTCAAATAAATGTCTGTAGACAGAGGGGATACGGGGTATGAGGTTCACAGTACTTGCCTATTCAGTGTCATGGCCATCACATCTTTTGAAGCTGGGGGTGGATAGGGGGTTATGTGGTTTTTCACATTTTTAATTTATATATTACATTCTAGTCCGGGGTACAAATCACAATCTGAAATTGGTAGGGCACTATAATTTCCTCTCTTTTGTTACCCTGTGCCAGATCATAACCCGGGAAGTAAAATCAGAGAATAATGTTTTTTGAGACCACATGATGCCAAAGACATTCAAATGCCCACGAGGCTGTATCTGATGCCCCATTTTTTTTCTTACTTAAATGGAGATCTGTCAGAGTATAAATAGGAGTGGTAGTCTTGTAATAAGAATATGCTTGAAGAGGTATATTTGTCTTTCATAAGCTTTCACATACATATATGTATAGAGAGTAAGAGAGGCATAGGAAGCTGATCTTCTTCCCTAATCGTTGTTGGTTAAATTGTTGTGGGTGTTAATTGTAGACTGATCCTGGCTCTGATATGTCCAATGTTTCACCGACTATATCCTGAAGAAGTGGCCTTTCTGTAGACAGTTAGACTTAAGAAAACTGAATAATGCAATTAGTACCCGTTATGTTGCCATGATTTCAAATTATGGTTGATTAGTTGCTTCTGGAGGTAATGGGTCAAGGGCCTTTGCCTTTTCTGCAAATATCATTGCTTTTTTAAAAAAGTGACAGTATTTGCAGTTGTTGGACGGACAATTCACGTGTTTAATTACTTGGTTGAATGTAAATGTTTGCGAGGATTAAAGCCACAGAGAGATATAGACAAACTCGGCAAAAAGGGAGGTAGGATAGAAAAAAGAGGCAAGACAAAGCTTGGTTCTGGCATTATTGAGAATCTATGGTTTGTCCAGAACCTTAATGATGAAGTTAGTAAGTCTTGAATTATGATTTATGTAATAACTAGCTAGGGTATTTTAATATTCATCCCTTCAGACTTCCTAGGATAAAAAAAATAACAACAATAGAACGGATGATGACAGAAACAACAATAAACATAGTAATTATTCACTGTCTTTTCAATAGTGCTTAAAAATTAAAATTTTATTTTACTTTATT